TCTCTCTCCTGAGATCTGTACCCATCCTGCAGCAGCAGTTCAGGCTTCTCAGACCTATGGGGGAAAAAAATATGCAGAAACAAACTGGAGGATAGTCCTCCTGGAACAATCACAAATGAGGAGTTTCACTCTTGCTGTAGAAGACAGGGTTTATTTTTAATCAAGCTGGTATCCAGGCACCTCAGTTATGGCTCAGGACAGTATCTTGGGTACAAAATGAAGCACAAGAGGTAAGGTTGAGAGTGAAGTAACAGAATCAGTGTTTCTCCTTGGTTATGCAGGTTAGAATAAGATAGCCAGAATCCTTGAAAGCACAGAAACAGTTGAGCCAAACACCACATTTATTCTCGACACTGTCTGTACTAGCCCTTTTCCTCCCGATGCAGCACAGTCCCTGCTGTTGGTGGCAGGCAGCGCTGCTTGGTGTGTGCTGAATGACAGCACCCCCGCTGTGACACCTTGTATAGACCTTTCTTGCTTTTGCAACGAAACGGCAAGTGATTTCTGTAACCAGAAACTCAGCACTTCAAGAAGAAATACCTAAAAACATTTAAGACTGTAGGCTTCCAAATTCTGGCAGAGTTAAGGATTTTCTACTGACCCGGTGGTATTGCTGAAATAAGTCTTCCTACTAAAAAGAGCCAGCTCAGCACCACCAGTAAGAGCCAAAGTCCTGCCTGAGGTAGAACAGTCCTGCCTGAAGTGCAGATCCAGAGTCGGTTTGTCACCTCTGGAGGAAGGGCAGGGACACCCCTGAACCAAGGCTGCGAGCACCTGTGCTGCCTGCGCAGGCAGCAGTCCAGGGCCTGGAGTAGTTGCTCTGGTAACCTCCCAAACGAGCTTTCTGGGTTCATTCTGCCAGTTTAATGAGATAAATAATTAACGTGGTCACTCTTGTACAAGTCAGACAATGAGAGAACTTCTAACACTTTTCAGAGCTCATGCCAAATACCAGTATCGCTTGAAATAGAAGTGAAGTGGACTAAATACGGATCCCTAGTCAATCCACAAGCCAGAATAGTGAATGTCACAGCAACAATCAGTACCACCACATTGAAGCAGGTATGTAATTAAATTACAGGATTTAAGATAAAAAGAATGGCTTGTTTTGCTTAGGTCTCAGCTGTGTGACAGTGACCCAGTTAATCTCTTTATCTAAAGGTAACACCTCGTATCAGAATGTATTGCACCCAGCAGTTTCTGTTCCAACTCAAACACAACTGTGGGCTGCTTGCCAAAACACACTTCAATAAAAATCTGTACACCATTCATGAAAAGAAATGTGGAACTGTATATGAAAAAAAACAACACCCCAAACTTATTACAAATAACAGCTGAAATACAACCCAGTCCAAACAAAGCAGTCCTCCAAAGAGAAGACTGAAGCTAATGACCATTTGTATTTTCATTGCAGCTTTCCTCAGGAAGGGAAAGGACTATTCCTGTAACAAGTTCTGTTGTCTTCACTGACATTTCTTCACCTGCAGAGCCAGGCTATAAAGCTTGGCCCACCATTAATGCCAAGTTACCCTTTGATTTTTTCTTCCCATTTGTCTAAGGTAGGTATGCATTTAAAAAAAAAAAACCCAAAAAAAGGGCCGTATTTCTGCTTTTTAAGTCCAGTTCCTAAAGAAGTGAGGTTTATCAAGTCGCTGTGATTAGCCATCAGTTTCTTCTAAGTTGTAGACACACTGGGTTAAAACTGGCCAAGAGAGAAAGGCTGAGCCCTTGTGAGGGTTGTCAGAAGCTTAAGGGCAGAAAAGCCCCCACATTAAGTGGAAAGTTCCCAATTATACCTCTGCCGAGACGAAAAAAGTTGCCGTATGAACTCGGTGGTGGCTCTAGCTGCCCGGTCAGCACGGGTACAGCCACAAGCACAGAAGATGCTCCAAACTAGCACTAGTCTGAGCTGCCTGCCTGGCAGCGTGGGGGCAGGAGGGGAAAGGAAGACCACAGGGACGCAGTAAAGCTCTGGGGGAAACTAGGTTTCATTGTTCTGTGAACATCAGGGCTAAATTGTTAATTAAAGTAATCATGTGCTATTAGATAAGGCCTCTGCTTTATCTGTTTTCATAGATGAATAAGCCACATATTTCTAGCTATTTTTTCCAAGCCACTAATTAATTACCATTCTTAAAAAATCCGAACAGTTAAGTGATGCTTTCAGAAAAGCTCTGTGACCCTTCCAGCCAACCCTGGCTGAAATCAACTGCAGACACCTGCTACAGTCAACACCTTTCAGAAATCCAACTTCTTGAATCTTTCTCTTCACCTATAAAATAGTCTCTCCACATGGACCTTCTAGTACCTGAAAAAGTTCACGTTGTGTTCAAACACCAGCCTGGTCCATCAGAATATGCTTTTTAATGGCTTTTCTGGAGTCTAACTGTTCCCAGCAGTCCACTCACCTACCTCTGTTCTTACATATTCTAATTCTTTTAATGTGTTGATTTATCAGCTGTGGAAACAAAGAAATTTGTAGCCCAGCGGGCTGCAAACCAACACTTAAAATGGAAGAAAGAGGAGAGAATGCAGTCTCCGAACTCAAGTCTGCTGTTGGGGACAAGGCATTGTTTGACGTAAGACGGCACACGTTTGCCTCTGTTTTGGTGCTGATTTGATTGTCAACGAAAGGAGTGGTATGTTGGTATTTTTGAAATGGATGTTATATAAATAACAGAGTGGCACAAGCAGCAACAGAAATGGGGAAACTACCAACAATGGGAAAAGAATGGTTGGCAAAGAGCAGCTGTACTAACGACGAATGGTCAGCTTGGAGAGGAGAAACGACCTTCTCGGCCTGGGTTCTTGTCATTCGCACTGCAAGTTTCTACAAGACATCGCAAGCAAAGAACATCATCACAGAAAAATGAAATTATTTAAAATAAGTGTTACTTTCATGGGTGTACAGCTTGTAGAGATGTGTCTTTATTAAATTATTTTGCAGTTTTGACTGTACAACCGTACAAGTAAGGTCTTATGAAATCCCTGTTTACAGGCAGTACGCATGGTTAATTTTCCAGCAAAACTACTTTTGCAATCCCAAGATCTAATCAAAGTGTGGTCAAATAGAAAACATTTATAGACAACACTATACAAGAGAAAGCAAAGAGACAGGAAAACCTTTCAGGTCAAACGGGTCGATTTCAACACGGCACTCTCCGGGGCAGACTTCTCCACCTCGGAAAACTGGCCTCCTATTTTTGCTCGCTGACGAGTCCGTGCTGTTTTAATATCATGTTAAGCCTCTCAATTTCTTGCTCCTGTTGGAGACAAAAGTCAAATCATTAACAGAACTCTTCCACTTCAGCAGTGGGAAGATCTGTAGGAACCTGGGAAACTATTTTAGGATATCTCACTGTGGTAAAACAGGACAACCTGGCTAAAGTAAGTAGGACAGAGGTAGCAAGCAGCCAAGGGAAGCACAGGCGAGGCTGTGGTTCTTCAGCCCAGCTTGCTCCACAGCTTTCTGGTGAAGAAACCAAGCTGACAGTGGCAACCTTGCAAAAGGATCCCAAGCCAGCTTGTCCTGGGGAGCAGCCAGCAGGTAAACTTGGTTTAAATTAAGTGTTTTCTTACCTTCTCTACGCAGTTATGTTCCAGTTGTTCAACCTTTGTTGCAAGTTTCAAGTTCGCTTGCTTTAGCTTGGACACTTGTTGTTCAGAGCGGGTCTTCACCGATAAAATTATTCCTGTGAAACAATTCACAGTGGATTCGTTTTACAGTGTCAAACAGCCACGAGCAGGAGGTTAACAGTACGCAGGGTCTGTACTCAAGGAGTTAAACATGTTCCTCTCGAGCTCTGGTTCTGTCATCTCCAAACCACCCTTCCCAAGTGCTTTTCTTAATGAGGAGGGTTTTAAATCAGCCACCTCAGGGACTCAGATACTGATACTCTGCTGGGAAGAGGCAGTCTGGCCTCTGAGCTGAATTAATCAGTCAGACTGTCATTCAAATCCCGAATTTGAATTCACTCCCGTGGCAGAGCCTGGGGGGGGACGTAACTGGCAGCTTTGCTGTCAGCAAGGGCTGCGTTTTAGCGGGTCTCCTGTAGTTGGGAGCCCTGCTCTGACAGCAGCGCACGGCCCAGCCTGGGGAACGAGGCTTGTCCTCCCCGGGGCACATCGCTCGGGTCAGTGGAGCGGGACACGGCACATCATCGGGTCCTTCAGGTCTTGGCTTCACCTTGTGTGGCTGCAGCAGGGGCCCACAGCTTCTCCTTACAGCCGAGGTGTCACTTCTCTACCGAAGTATTGTTAGTTATTACACGTGAACTCAGCCCCCACAGTAAAGGCATTTTCCTCCTGCCCTTTTCCAAGCGGGGGGAAAAAATAAGCAGCTTGGTAAGA